GGGGGGTCAAGAAGAACATCCCTGGTAAGAAGTCACCCTGTACGACAAAAAGGGAAAATTAGTGAAGCACAGGCTCCTCTTCTGACTAGATTGCCACCGGCATTCAACAGCAAATGCCACGACTCTTCTGTTACAGACAAGAAAACCCTGTTCTCCCAAACAAACAGCGAGGAGATTTATGGGCACGCCTGAAAATTTCCTGGGAGGAACTTTTTGTAACTAAGGAGCAGGTGCTATCTTGAGTTGAAGGCATCAATTTGACAGACACTTGGTACAGCAAACTCTTCAGCAGAGGAATTAATTGCTGCCTATTTGAACAGCGGGGGGAGAAAACGACAGCCTAAGGGAAGACAAGAAAAGCAGAACTGGAATCAGCAGGCTTTTCTTCCGTCTCTCCCGAGAAAGTCGTGTTTCTCTGTTCTAATAATTCTATGCCCTTTTCTACACGAAACTTAGACCAAGGTTGAAAAAACAACTAGAAAACACGGAGAGAAGCTTTTTAGAATGTCACGTTATTTTCCCAAACCGATCCCAGAAAAGCAGAACTCGGTAGAATGGACTCACCTCGAGGCCTTTGGTCTTTTTTTCCATAAGCTTCGTCACCTGATTGAAAAAGCAGAGCAGACTCGGTATTTAGGCTCACAACAGGAAAACTTCACCTTCCTTTCCTAAAAGAAACTACATTAATTTGCGCAGCTGCAGGCGCGGATCCAGATGTTAAAGTCTTCCAGCTTTTCAGAGGGTGAGAATGCCCTGCTAAGGAAGGTTGAAAAATGCTTGGACCCTGCACAGGTCAAAGACCACCTTGATTTTGTCTGTGTTCCAGTCCCTGGCTAAAGAAACGGTAGAACAACTGCAGTTGTTCCTTGCCTTTTCCCTAAGAGGTTTTGCCAGGTGCTGGGCCAGCCCGGGCACTGCCGGGGGCAGCCAGAGCTTTCTGCGGTGGCCCCTTTTGTCCGGGAGGAATCTCCGTCCCTGTTCAATTCTGGGAATCGGACTGGCAACGCAAGCCAAGTCACCGGTAGGATTCTGGACCTTTGGTCTCCTCAGAGCGCCCACGGCGAGGGGAAAAATAACCCTTGGTTCGCTGTCCCGGGGATGGAAACAAACAAAAAACCACGACACCGGACTGAATTCCCCCGCAGAAGCCCAAATTCACCGAACGCCTGCTGAACTCAGCAGGGGCACACTCCCTCAAGCCCAAGGCATGCTTAGGGCGCCTCCGACTCCGGATTTAAGGTCGGAGAAGCTCGGCAGGGCCAAAACACCGCCGCTTTCCCACGGGCGTCGCTTCCCAGCCCGCCCCGAGCGCCGGGCCCTGCCTCACAGTCGCCGCCTGGCGGACACGGCCGGGAGCGGCACTGCAGCCGCGCACCTCCCCACTCCCCCCACCCCAAGGACTCCCGGAGCGCAGATTGGCAAAAAGAAACGTCCGGGAAGACCGATGTTGCCTTTCAGAAGTATTTCCTTTATTTTTAAGAACGATAAAGGGCCAAATCAACAATAAACGTAGATTTCCGTGCCCATCAATGGCAGATGTGGCAACTAAGCCATGTCCTCTGTCTGCTACCTGTCACACAGGACCCTCTTCTCTAAAAACAGCAGCTCCGCAAGCAGCGCTGCCATTTGCCAGACACATACTTACTCCCAGCAGTCAGGTCACACTTCAACACTTCCCCAAGTCTGCGGGAGGACTTGCAGGGCCTGAAGGCTCACGCTAGGGTGTGGCACTCACTTGGTGTCTATGGAAACCATTCTGCTACTACGGAATGTTTTCTCCTAGGAAACACACCCATTACACAAGTCACACATCTGATCAAAAGGCAGCAAGTGGCCTCCAATTCCACCAATTGTCTTCTTGCTGTGACCACATCCTTAGCCTTAGAAGTCAGGGGGAAGTCTACAGCTGTTGGAGCAGTTCCTGGGAACGCCATAAAACACCCTCTCTTCGGACTGCCCAAGGGCAAGTGCTGAGGGCACCACACAGCTCCTGCCCAAACATCCTGTCCTGAGCCCATCCATGTCAGGAGCCCCCAGCCCGGGCTGCAGCTCCCAAGGGATGACGCAGCTATTCGAGCGTAAGCGCGCACGCCTGTGGGCAGGGGAGCACTTACCGGGGGGGGGCCGTCGGCCCCTCCAACTCCTCCCCCCGCCGCGGCAGCGCGTCCCCAGCGCGCCCAGCTCCCCCCGCTGCCGTCCCGCGGCCGCGCTCTGCCACAAGGAACGGACGGGCAGGACCCGGCAGTGCCGGGACGCCGGGCACGTGCACTCGGGCACCGACAGCAGCGGGTGCCGGTTCTCCCCGCCAGGCCCCGGGGCGGGGGAAGAGAGATTCCCTCCACGTGGCGCAGCCAAGAAATCCGCCTGCCGCTCCCCCTGTCCCAACCTCGGAGGGGTGGCGGCTCTCTGGGAGCACACGTGGAAGCGATGCCGCCTGCCCTCCGAGTGTGGGACAGCACACCTGCCGTGACTCCCCTCTCTCCAAAGAGCTTCCACCGAGCAATCACTGGAAAGACCCAAATCCCAGCATCTGGGGCCCTTTCAATGTTGCTGTGAAACACCGCGTTCAACCGGACACGTCCCTGGGAACGATCAGCCCCAAAATCGTGCTCCGCAAGCAGTGGACAAAAATCTCCCTCCCGTTTTGGGTTGAAAGCAGCAGCAGGAAGCTGCCTTTGGCCATCCGAGCCGCCCCGCCCTGTCCCGAGCTCAGCTCAGCCCTCCAGAAGCAGGACGGGTCATTCCCCGAGGAAGGGGGAATTACCGACGAGCCCCTGCACGGAACGGGCCCCCAGCGCTCCACAGTGAGCCCTGGGAGCCGAGCCGAGCCCCGGGAGCCGAGCCGAGCCCCAGCTGGACGCCCGCACAGCTCCGGGTCCTGCCGGTCCCGCGGCGCCCTCTGCGACCCTCGGGAGCGCCGCTTGGCCACAGAGCAGCGCGTGCGGAGAGCTCGGGGAGCCCTCCACCCGCACACGGCGCGGTTCCGGGTCGCGAAGGCGGACTGTGCGGCATGGGGGACCGGGGAGCAGCGGTGGGGCGGGAGTCAGCGGCGGGGAGCCGGTAGGAGGCAGAGCGGCAGCGCGCCTCTGACCGCCTCTCCCCACGCAGTTCTGCTTCTGCGGAGATGTAGGCTGTCCCGACTGGGTGCTGGCTGAGATCAGCTCCCTGGCCAAAATCGTTAAGTGCCCGCCCCCACCCCCTATCCCCCTGCCCGCCCCAGGTCCACTGCCCACCCTCCTTCTCCCGTGCAGTCCCCGCTGACGCTGAAGCTGATCTGTGCCCAGGTTCTGCGAACCAATCTCTGGAACACCTCTGCAATCCCAGCCCTGCAGTCGCTATCCCAGCCCTACAGTGATTTCAGCTCCAGCTCCACATCTTCCCACCACCAAGTGAAGTTGCTCCTTGATCAGAGCAGGATGTTTACTTCAGGTCCACCTCTAGAAACTATATTCCAGCTTCAGCCCCAGAGTAGCTATCCCAGAATATGGCACTAGGGCTGGAGGTGGAATCACTGAGAGGCTGGCATAGTGGTTCTCCAGGTGTAGTGGTGAATCAGCACTTGGGACTCACTGTGTCCTCTTTCCTTGGCAGCAGCCTTTGGAGCAGACAGAAAAGGCATCGTGTAGGACAGCCAGGCCAGACTGAGTGAGCAGAGGAGTGGCCTCAGGCTGGAGAGGGACAAGAGAAAGGCAATGTGGGAAAAGGGACCTCCCTGTTTTCACCAGGTAACCTGCAGGGTTGTAATATACTTAAGATGCATTTGCTGTGCATCCATATGGATAAGCTGCAAGCACAGGGAAAAAGTGTCACCTTAGAACGGTGACATGAAATCTCCTTCTATTAACCATCATGCATTTCTTAGTATGTAAAATCTATTTAATGAAAACCAAAACATCAAACAGTGGACCGATCAAGTTGTGCCCTGGCTTCAGCAGATGTCTGACTGCACTCAGCAACTGGAAGGTGCCTCTGGGGACCAGTGAGTACTCTGGATGCTAATGCTGTCAGAGCTCAAAATCTAAGCTCTCAACAGAGAGATCTGAAGAACTTGCAAGAAAAGAAACTGCTTTCTGGTTCCTTCAGCTTCAGGAAGCCACAGTGGCTGATGGCCAAATGTGCAGTCAGTTGGCAGCAAGACCTTTAACTCATCGGACCAACAGTTACTGCAGAAAGAAAAATAAAAATCTATCAGAGGAAGTTGTTCACAGATAAAAGTCGTTCACAGATAAAAATGGTTCCATGCAAGTTTCTTTATGCTGTTCCTTCAGTTTTAACTCCATTCAAGTGATTCCAAACCTTCTGTTTCTGAAGGTTTCATTCATTCGGGTTGCTTCTCCTCTGGCATTTCATCCGCATGTCCTGCATAAAGTTTCTGAAGGCTGGTTCTTCATGACTCTCCTCAGTCACTGGGGGAAGAAACGACAGTTCAGCGCTATTTCAGTACTTGTTCTACTTGTGTTACGGAAAAAAAGCTAGAATCAGGATAGCCAAAGCAACATAGAAAGTCTATTCCATCTTCAACTACATTACGGGGCAAAGGAAAGAAGTGATCCTACCCATCAATGGAACAGGGAAAGAATGAAGACTGTCTGTGAGCTATATAAGAGAAAAATCACACTGTAACAACTTAGAAGATTGCTCCAAGACCACAGTCACAGGAAAAGGGAAGAGAGCCAGGGGCAGAAACTGTAAGGCCAAAAAGATGATGAACACATCTGTGCATCAATCACGTTCAGAGGTCATGCCCCAAGCCTAACGAGTTCTCTGGTTTATGTGTGTTATACACCTCTTAATTACGTGAATAGAAAATTTACAATTGAACTTTCAAAAAGGTTACAGAGTGATATCCCCGCGCTGACCATTGCAGTGGAGCTTCTGCTACAGATTCTGACACGTCAGGTGACTGAATGTTTGCTTGTTTTCTAGGCTCTCCTTACAGTCCATCCAGGTCATGAAATATAGAGGGGATTTCTTGACTAGACAGGCAGCTTTTAGACTTCATTCCCTTACCTTCATGGTCAATGTCATCAGTGTCACTCTCCCTCTCTTCTTGCTCTTCATCGAGAGTTCCTCGTGTTAGTATTAGCTCAGAGGGACCCATTGCAGAAGCATCAGGTCCTTGAAGAGAACACAAATGGCTGTACACAAACCAGCTTGCTAAAGGTAAGGGAGCGTGTGCACTGACAACTTCTGTCTGCACAGAAACACAGCAATGAACACCTGCTCTAAGGGGACAGAAAGCTGCTTGTGGATCCCAGACACAGGACATACTCCATCAGCACCTACTCGCCTCATCTAAGGAACAGTGCAGCCAACAGCAGAGCTTTCTCAGATTCTGATCTGACCGTTTTGCCTTTTCTAAAGTATTTCATTATTTCTAGTAGGTCCACTGCTTTAGCTACACAGCGGGGTTTCTTCCAAACCTGTGACTGACACAGGAAGAGCTAAGTGTGACCAATCCCACAGGAATTAAAGCCCTGCTCCTCTAACATGGAGCTGCTTTCACACTTCTTGTGAGGACAAAGAAGCATGGTATTACTTCACAAGGCAAACTCTTCAGAAAACTTCTGCAGTAACCTTTATCCTCCCGGGGAGGTACCTGCCAGTGTGCTGCCCTGCACACACACGCTGCCCATGTCCTTCCACAAGTGTTCCAGCTGCTCTCTCTTTTGTTTATTTTCAGCTTCCTCCTGTAGATAAAGATTTACATGTGGATTCTGAGAACATTTAAAACATCAGGAGAAGAGAAACCTCACCCAAACCCAGCACCCTGTCCCCCAGTCAGAGAGCAAAAGTCACTATGCAGGTCTTACATTTCAACTAAGGTTACACAGAACTTCTGACTAAGCGTGGAAAGCAACCTCCAGTCAGGTGGGATTCTAGGATGATTTCAGCAGCGCCGGGAAGCCAAACTCTGTGTAGCTGTGCCTGCAGAGAACTGTCCTTTGGACAGCCAGAACTCAAGGTGAGCAGAGCTACTGATTTTGGCACTGCAATTCAGTCTTTCTTACTAAGTCAAACTAGTACTCTTCACTGGTGCAGGAAGATACGGGGATAGTCTCAACAAATCCCTTTGGAAATTTATTTTTAAGAACTCTCTATCCATCTGAATGGAAGACACAATCTTATTTCCCAATCGTTTTCTCACAATTAGCTCAAATATTAGCACTAAAACAGTGAGCAACATCTGTTTTACAAAATCTTTATTTTTGTAAAGATATGCTCCACCACATCTAGGAAAAAAAAGGCAAATGGTGGACTCCTTCAGGACAGGAGTTTTCCCACAGTGAGTACGACTAGTAAATGAAATGTTAGACCCTCTCAACATAAAGGCAACTGTGTGCATAAAAGTGACCCAAGATACACTGTTCAGGTGTAAAACAGCTAAAAACACTTACCAGTGTTTTTCTCAGGCGCTCGTATTCTGGACGATACTCTCTGAAAAGGTAAATAAAGAGAGTGCATTCAGTCTGAAAAACACAGGATTTGTATTGCATAAGGATCATCCTGGAGGCTTCTTTTTACTCAAAAAAAAGGTTTTCTCTAGGCTTTCATGTTTGAGAGACATTTCAGAAACACTAACAGTACTTTTTTCCCCAGATTTGGATTCTGAAACCAATGGAAGATCAATGAACAGACTTCATTAAAACAGCAACAATTTAAACCTTGGTATGGAATTACAAGAAAAAAATTACTTCACAGACTTGCTGGCACAGATAGCTTTTACTTTTTCACGGAACAGCACAAAAAATTCATCTCTGAATAGTTCCTTTTTACTGCTGCTTTTTATGCTGATACTGGACACCCTAGGCTACCTTGGCTATGGCAACTGTACACTCCTTCAAATCAAAGGAGCAGACTCATGAGTCAGGACCTTCAGGGAGTGGTCACTGGGTCGCAGACCAAAAGTTATCCCCTTACCTCTCATATTCATCTACAGCTTTAGAAAGCTGGATAAAAAACTCATCCAGTCCTGTGCCAAGCACCGCAGAAACACCAACCACCTGGAAAAGAAAACACACCAGAACTAGAGAGTAACTGAGCCAGATTTTTAATACAGAAAAAAAAACAAAATAAAAACAAACAAACAAACAATCCCCCACACCAACAATAAAAAAATCAACACCACCAAAAAAACCAAAACCAACAACAAACTACTAATCTAAACCTAACAACACCCATTGAATCAGCACAATGGCCTAAGAGTGGGCAGTAACACTTGTGCTTCTGTCCATCCCGCTTTCAAACTCTTCCTCCACTTGCTGTTCACGTTTGTTACTTCCGCTTTTTGGTTGTCGGTGATTTTCTGTTTGGTGAGTTGTTGGGGTATTTTGGGGGGTGTTTCTTTGGGGAAGGAGGTTTGTTTGGTATTTTTTAACACTGTAGGGCAATTCAAAAGAAAGGTCAAGTCTTTCTGCTGTTGACTTGTTTATTGTTAATAACCCAAGTTCTCATTCTGCATCTAGGGTTATAAGTGGTTAGCAAGTATCCGTGTACTAGAATTAAAGTGCAAAAGAGACAACAAGAACTGACCTTTTGGCTCTGAAATAGTCTAATACTTTTTATTTAGCCAAAGCACATTTAGAAGGTCCCCAGAACAGCAAGAGAGGGAGAATTTAATCAGTTGCTATGACAATACATTCAAAATGCACATCTACTTTCTAATTTCAATTTGTCTATCATTACACTTCTGGCCATTTGTTCTGCTTGTATTAAATCAATTATCTAAAAATACCTTTAATTAAGACTATTACCAGCCAGAATCCTACATCTTCTAATGAAAATTCTCCCTCTTTTTCATAGGCAAGACAGTCTCAACTACTGACTTCCAAATGGAAGACCTTTCCCAACACAGCCTTGCATTTGATCATTAATACAGGAAATATGCAGACAGCTCTCCAAAGGATTTTAAGCATTAAGGCTAGGCACTGTGCCAATATATATAAATATTTATACTTTCCCTGCACTTAAGTACAAGCTGCCTTTTACTCCGTAATCCTCTTCATATGACCTGCTCTCCATCCAGTGCTCTAAGAGTTCTAACAGGCAGATAAATATGACCTGATCAGCACATAAGGAACAGGAAGTATGTTAGTTCTGTATATGGGACCACTACAATCCCTTTTGAAATTCTGTATATTGTTCCACATAGGACACTTACAATATTTTTGTTTTGGCTCTATTATCATCATCTACATGAATGGATCATTTAGTTCCTGGAATATCCACACAGCCAAGAAGGCTTGCTTTTTCTTTAGTAAAAGCTGATGACAAACATGATCAGCTAAAACCTTTTTAGCACAGACTATGGGATCATTAACAGCCTCCAATGTACAGTGTTGTCAGAGAAACAATTAATTTGTCCGCTCAAAACCTGGTCGAGTGGAAGAACAATCTTCTTCTTGCACAAACAAATGTAAAGGGGTTTTTTTGTTCATTTATTTGATTTTGAGATTCTTTCCCTTCTTCCTATGTAGTACATTGCCCAACTGTACCTGACACTTTCAGAACAAGGAAAATTACCTCAGGTGGGAAATGCTGCAGCAAAGAACACTGCCTCTTACCAGCCTATCTTAGCTTTCGTCTCGTGATTAATCACAGTTCAATATTAAATTATTCAGGCTGCCATTCAGTGTGACAAGCTGCTAAAGTTATTGTATGTTCAAATCAGCAAATCCTCAACACAGGTCATCAACAGATTACAGTCCAAAAGGACAGTGCAAAGCCGCTTTACAGAAGGACAGAATGGGGGGGGTTGTACAATACCTCTGGAGATCATCTAGTCCAATCTCTCCTGCTCAAAAAGCAGGATTAGGTAGAATAGGTTGCTCACGACTTTGCCTGAGCAAAAGTGTTTTAAGCATCTCCAAGGATGGAGACTCCACAATTTCTCTGGACCATCTGCTGCAGTGCAGAATTAGTAAAATTAATTTTTTTTCTCTTCCCTTTAAACATAGTTTCCTGTATTTCACCTTGTGTCTGTTGTCTCTTGTCCTTTCCCCACGCACCAGTGAACAGAGTCTGCTGCTCGCCTTCCTTACACCCTCCTACCAGGCATTTATACACATCAAAAATATTCTCCTTGAACTTTCTCTTCTCCAGGCTTTTAGGAGAGGTAATAAAAAAAAAGGAAGACCTTTACCTTCAGTGAACTGTAAAATTCATCCAACACTAAACTCATAGAACGAGTCAGGTTACTGACATAGGAGGTCTCTTGATTCAGAGCATCCTGAAAAGTCTCGAAGTCCTGCATCCATTCCACTGCAAAACTGTGGTCAATTATGTCAGTCTGGAAGGAGAAGGGAAAATATTCAGAAGTAATAATCTTACCCTTAGGCTGTTAAGTGGACAAATAAAAAAAAATCCATGTTAATTTATTTTTAAAATGTTGATCTTTTAAAAATATTCAGCCCCGGTCTGAAGTTTTGCAAGTTCACTTTTTATCAAATCAACCATGTGAATACAGGAAGAGAAGACAAACAACCACTACTCCAGGTTTAGGAAGGCAACGGTTGTTTAAGGAAACAATTGCAACTCTAAAGCCTCCTATGGTTTTACTGGAAAGGGGCATCCAAAAATTGCACACTGCACAATGAAGTTTAAGGTGTAAATAGTAGATCATACAATTGAGGTCAGACAAAAATAACCCTCATTGAAGATCCTCAGCTTTCCTGATTGCCTGGGGCTGGGGGAGCCAGGGCCACTTCCACGCTGGGTAACAGCCCACGGGATCTTTAACAGCCCAAGGGAGCTGTGTTCTGGCCTGAAGAAATTATGATCTAAATTCAGTGCAAGACAACTGCCACAAACAGGTGAGATAGTTCCACAATTTTACATGGATTCATATAAAAACAGTGTATTACAGAGTTTCATAAACATCTTGCCACATGCATATCCACTCTTCGCACAATACGAGGTGCCTAAAACTCTGATATATTTCATTCCCCTCACCAATGGGAAGGAGGAAGATAGATAAAGTATTACCTAGCATTACTCAAGAGATTTGAGACAGAACTGAATCCACCAAGGGTCAAAGCCTGACTACTCAGAGCTACCTTGACTAAATTCTGTAAATAAAATTAAATCACCTCCACAAATTTTTTTCCCTCTCCAAATCTTAAAATTCTTTACATCTATGGGTTTGTTACTGCACATATATCCCAGTTCCCTGGGATTCTTCCATTCTTATCAAGAGTCAATTTCAAAAAATTAAATTTAATTAAATATTGTTAAAAATTCTTCCAATGCTATTGGCTTTACTTTTTAGCAAAAGCTAAACATGAGATCAAAATGAAGTTTAAAGTGATGAATCCTAAGCCTCAGGCCTACCTTTCATTACACACACAGTGCCACTTCTTTTAGTCTTTCAAAAAGTGTATTTTCTTAAGAGAGACTTATTTTCCTGCCTCATGCCTTTTTCTACAGAAATAAAAAGCTAGAAAGCTTATTCTTATATTACTGTCTAGTGTCAAAAAGAAAACTGTGTACAAAAAGTTGCTCAGTAAGCAAGCAGATACCAAAGATATGCATGGTTTGGGTCACTGGGCAGATGGGTGGAGTTGGAGCACAGCAGACACTAATCCTACTTGGCTGGTGTGAGGGAAAATATCCCAGTCAAAGCCTGGCATATGTGTGTGCACATACAAAGCTTGCTGAGTTGGGGATGCAAACACAAAGGATGCCTGTGGAGAGCAGTAACTCACAACAAAAATCTAACGGGATTCTTTTAATATCTGAAATTATCATGTTTAAAGATACAGCTGTTAAGCTCAAAAGCATTAAGGCTACAAGTCCCTTACACAACAGTGGATGTGTATTCTTAGACTAGTATCTGCTCTCTAGCAAATACTGCACCAAACATCTTTGTTAAGTTTTGCCTGCTATGACAGGTGGGACTCCTCAGTCAAAACAGGCAGGGGTTACACCATTGCCACTGAGAGTCATTAGCCTGCTGCTGAGTGGAAATCATTATTAATGAAGATAAATATTCTGGGAAAACAGGGCATGTAAGCGCAGATTCTGGCATGACCTTACCCTTTTTTTACAGAGTTACGTTTCCCTATAATCCAGGGTTAAGGTGCAAAACATGTTTCAAATTGTTACCACCCTCTCTGACTTGAATATTTGGGTGCAACTGCCCATCCCTGATTATTCTTGTGCATTTGGATATCAGATTAAAGACCCTTTTTAGATTCGGTTATCAGCCTGCAGCTCCCTCCCAGCCTCTCTTTTCTAGAAAAATCTATTATTGTGGTAAGACAAAGACACCACAGCAAAGAAGCTAAACAGAACAATGTCCCATGAGGACATAGAAACCAGAGCTTTAACTTACTTTGTTCATGACTACAATGAAAGGTAGCTTTGTCTTGTACAGGATACTGGGGGGGAGACACAAAATAAAAGTTTAATTTAAAACTTCCTAGAATAGAAAGCAATTTAAACATAAGGCAGACAAGACTTGTGCAGAACTGAATACATTTGACTTCAAAAGATAATTATTTTCCTCTGCACCTAATAGAATGTAATTTTCACCCAGGTCCTGCTTACAGTCATTGAATAAAATATGCTCCTCCAAGATGTAAGAAATAAAATCTCCTACACACCCAGTCGAGTTTGGTTACCATTTGCTATGACACTAAGATCCCGGGTTTTAACTCTCTGTGCATTTTGCATTTGACTCAAACCTTAGGTTCTGAGAGATTATTTGTGAACTGAGCAATGAATTCAAATAACACAGAACATCTATAAAGCAAAATTACCTTGACACATGAGCTGACATATTCATTTCGCTGTATATATTCTATGATCTTTTGCTCAAACTAAAGTCAGAAAATGCAATATGTAGTAAGACACAGTTTGCACACTCCTATCATGGTGATATAGCTCTTGATCTTGGTACAAGGACCGAGAGGTTTTTTGAAAACCTTTTACCAACATTTAGCACGAATTATGACAGCTCTAGCTATGTTGATGGTTCCATAGGTATTTAGTCTCTGGTATGACATGAAAGACAACAGATAAATTCATGTATGAAGAGGAAGACAATAATTCAAGAGCACCATGCTAGGCTGAACTCCAAACAAATCTTGAAGAATCTCTTAAAAGTATCAACAACATTAAAAAATAGAATAAAATACCATGTATTTACAAGAAGGGGCTTAAACTAGCCTACCTTGATTCATCTTAGATAACTGGGTTTATAAGCAATAGGCAATATGTTAGATCTAATATAACCAGCCTTCCTCATGCTAAGGTCTCATGGATTATTTAATGCTTTCAGTGGAAGTTTTGACCCAATGACCTCCAGATGTCCATTGGCACCTAAATTATTCTGCTTATCCAATGGGAAAACCACCAAGAAAATAACCAAACCAGCATACTAAGCGGATAGGAGGCATCCAAGTGCACTCCCAAGCACAAATCCAACCATACCCTGGGCTGCATCCAAACCAGTGTGGGCAGCAGGGCGAGGAGGATGATTCTCCCTTTGTACTCCGCTCTCATCCCACCTGGAGAGCTGCGTCCACCTCTGGGAACCACGGCAGAGATGGACCTGGCAGAGTGGGTCCAGAGGAGGTCACCAAAACCATCAGAGAACTAGAAGGCCTCTCCTATGGAGACAGGCCAGAGAGCTGGGGTTGTTCAGCCTGGAGAAGACTTCAGGGAAGTTTTACTGCAGCTTTCCAGTAAATAAAGGGATTTATAAGAAAAATGGAGAGAGACTTTTTACCAAGGCTTGTAGTGATAGGACAAGGGATAATTTTCAACTGAAAGGGACATACTGACAAAATTTTTCATGATGACAGTGGAGAGATATTAGAGCACATTGCACAGGGAAGCTGAGGTTGCCCCATCCCTGGAAGTGTTCAAGGCCAGGCTGGATGAGACTTGGAGCAACCTGGCATAGTGGAAGGTGTCCCTGCCCACGGAAGAGAGGGTGGCCTTTAAAGGTCCCTTTCAAACCAAATCACTCTATGATTCCCCTCCAAAATAACTACCAAAGAGACACAGCAATCAAAGCAGATGGACTGCATTTCCAGCTTTTCTTACCTGCAGGCATAGAGCATGTTGGACATAAAAGTGATAGGGTTAGTACTGCGAGAGGTGTCCATCACATATACAACAACTGAAGGAAAAGAGGAAGCCTGGGAACACAAAGTAAAAGACAGTTTAATTAGGAGTACACTGAGCAATAGCCAGGTCATTCACAGAGCTTCACTGTCCAGTCATACAAAAAGCACTTACCAAGGCCTCAGTTATGATGGTTCCTGATGCTGACCAGGTGAATACCTCAATTTGCCCTGGTGTGTCAAGAATAACATACCTGGTAAGAAGTCACCCCAAACAACAAAAAGGGAAAATTAGTTAAGCACAGGGTCCTGTTCTGACTAGATTACCGCCAGCATTCAATAGCAAATGCCACGACTATTCTGTCACAGATGAGAAAACCCTGTTCTCCCAAACAGTGATGAGATTTATGGGCACACCTGAAATTTTCCTGTGAGAAATTTGTAACTAAGAAGTATGTACTATGTTGAGTTGAAGGCATCAATTTGACAGACACTTAGTACAGCAAACTCTTCAGAAGAAGAATTCATTGCTGCCTATTTGAACAATATGTGAGAGAAAATGACAGTCTAATGGAAGACAAGAAAAGCAGAACTGCAATCAGCAGACTTTTCTTCCATCTATCCCAAGAAAGTCTAGTTTATCTGTTCTAATTCTATGCCCTTTTCTACATGAAACTTATACCAAGGTTGAAAAAACAACTAGAAAATACGGAGAGAAGCTTTTTAGAATTTCACATGATTTTCCCAAACTGATCCCAGAAAAGCAGAACTTAGTGGAATGTACTCACCTGGATGCATTTTGTCTTTTTTCAATAAACTTCATCACCTGATTGAAAAAGCAGAGTATACTTGGTATTTAGGCTCACAACAGGAAACCTTCATCTTCATTTCAGAAAAGAAACTACATTAACTTGCACAGCTGCAGATGTGTATCAAAATGTTAAAGTCTTCCAGCTTTTCAGAGTGTGAGAATGCCCTACCAAGGAAGGCTGAAAAATACTCAGACCCTGCATAGGTCAAAGACAACCTTGATTTTGTCTGTGTTCTAGTATCTGGCTAAAGAAATGGTAGAACAACTACAGTTGTTCTTGCCTTTTCACTAAGAGATTGTCTAGGTATGTGACATCAGCCTCCACCCCAGAGCTGCTTTAGTGTTATGATTTGGGAGGGCTGTCAATTATCAAATTGAAATCAGGAAAACTTAACCTGTTTCCAGAGGTGAGCTTCCCTACTTCAAAACCACAGCATTCATAGGAAAGATTTTATAGTGAACATGGTGCAACAACAGTCCTATACAAAGACTAAAAAATGTTCTGTACATGTGCCTGCTAAATTTTACTTGAAAGAAAAAGCTGAAAAACTGAAATCTCTCAAATGACAGATAATGTACTCTGACTGCATTGTTAGATGCAGGGTTCTGTAAGGAGAACAACCCCCCAGAAATATTAGAAGGCCAACCAAACACAGTGCCCTCTGAGACTTCAGACAGACAAAACCGCACAGTCATCGTAGGCACCCAGCACAGATCATAGGAACAGCACACAGAAACAACCTTGTACCTGGTCAAATCTTGTAGCAAAGAGATTGAGAGAGGTCACTATTCCACCATTTGGGCCTAGCCCATATCTGATGCTTCATTTAGGAAAGCAGATGGTTATGCAGACCCCAGAGGGCTTCTTTTTCAACTCTGACAACACCTGGCCATATGCAATGCACACTGGATACCTTGAAGCAAGAGACAATACCCCCTAATAAACGATTAAATCTTCTAAGTGATGCAGCAGCATAACAAATACAAAGTGTCTCTCTCTTACCCAAACAGGTGTAATTTACAGAAGGAAAAGGGGCTGCAGGGTTTCCTCTTGACATTTTTGGTTTAACTGTGCAAGAACCAGCACTGACTGACACTGTGTTATCAATCACTACTCTCGATACCCAGACATGAGACCAGACACCCTCCTTAGGCCCTACTTAATGAAATACCAAAACTCCAGTAATGGTTAAGAGACATAGTGAAACAAATAATGCACCTATATATCAATTTGAAACTTACATTTAGGATGTTTTGCTGGTAACCCCAAAACAAATAACAGCCAAAATCAAAAATCCTATTCCCCACCACCTTTATTCTTGTCTAAAATACTAAATTTAAGAGTCATACTTGTAAGTCAAATCCAAGGACTGTGTTTTGTCTCCATCTGCACAAGCTATTACTTAGGAGACCAAGGAGCTCCACGGCCCTCTGGAAGTGCAGTTGCTTTAGTGTAATGTTACTGCACTACAGCCATCAACCCTCTGTGAACAAGAGCCAATGTTCCAATGCCTCTGAGATTCAGAGAGACAAGAGTGCTTTGATTATGGTCAGAGAATGTGGAAATAGTTTTCCCCATCTACTACAGGCAAACAGGAATGTCCATATTTACTTATAACATATAAAATGAGACTAGTTAAAACATGGGAAAAGGCTGTTGGCTTCCAGAAAAAAATAAACGATACAAGTTCTCTGAAAGAACAAAAAAGAAAAAAAAAAAAAAAGAAAAAAATATGTGGGCAGAGTACCTATTATCTATAAAAACTTACTGTTAGGCAGAATAATTTTTAGCGCAGGAGAAAACGACCCAAGGAGCATTAAATCTTGTAGAACACATGTTCCTAATGTCGCATGCAAGAAATACATAGTCAAAACCTTCTGATCTTGACGCAACATTACTACAACCCCCCACCTCGTGGGATGGTCCTGTGCAGGGCCCGGAGTTGGACTCCATGATGCTTGTGGGTCCCTTCCAATTCGGCAGATTCTGTGATTCTGTGATTCATCACAGTGTGCATGTGACAGGTTATTTTCACAAAACTTGAGATTTCAAATATCATTATTTAGACAAAAAAAAAGGATACTGTTTCATGACTTCTTTGTACTTCACAGTGTCCCTGATATCTAAGGGAGAAAGACACATAAGCAGTTTTCCAACCCCCAGCTGGTCACCATCAGCTAAAAAAGCACACCTATCTATCCGCATTACTAGAAATCCATCACTGGGACAGATATTCCAATTATTACTCTGACATCAGTGAAACAACTTGCATATCCACACAGCCTTTCTTAGCCTCTGGAGAGGCAGGCTGGCATACTTCACAAAATGTAAGACACAGGATTGTGACAAAACTAGGGATTGGTATGCCCTTTGGAATAGCTAGACATAAGGTCTGTTCTATTAGTAAGATATTTCCTCTAAAATTTGTGTCTTTTAAAGTGCTTTAAAGCTGTTAGTTGGTAGCATTTATGGCTACCACTATTGTGGATGTAGGGAACCAGATAAAATCTGCTAATACTTTCATCACTGAGAAAGACAAAACCTTCAGAACCCAAACACATCAAATCAGAGCAGATGATGTAAAAAAACATACAAAAGTGATGGAAGAATGTCTTTAATTCTAAAAATTCCCAAGTTAAAGACTGTTTTGAGAAAGAAGATAACACTTTAAAACAAAACAAAACAAACAAACAAAAAAAAGCCACCACCATTTTCTTGCATTAGAACTTGGAATCTCTTAAGGGCAACCGAGCCAAACGGCTCACATACCCGCCCCCGGTCCCTGGGACAGGGGCCTGTTCTGTCGCTATTGATGGCACTTGCTCTCTCCCGGAGGACTCCAGGCACACGCCGCCCCTCCGCCCGGGCCCACCCGCGCCCGCCCCCGCCCAGTCGGGCCCCGCCGAGCACAGCGCTCACCGATGTTGGCGGGGAAGGGCAGGTCGTGCACGGCGGGGTCCAGGTTGATCACGTAGGGGGGGCAGCGCTGCCCATGCAGGTGGGCGGCGAGGCACTGCGGGAACACGGGAGGCGTCAGGCCCCGCTGGGAAGCCCCGGGGCCCGCTGGCAGCTCCCCGCAGCCCCCCGCCCCTCACCTGAACGAAGGTGGTTTTCCCGGAGCCGGCCATGCCCAGCACCAACACACACACCGGGCTGCCCGCCGGGCCTCCCGCTGCCGCCGCCATCTTCCCAGCTCCCGCTTGTTCTTCCGGGGCGTGGGGCGGCCGCGGCCCGGTCGTGACGCGCGGTCCCGGCTGTCGCCCTGCAGCCGCCCCGTACTCTGCGCGGTCCCGCGCGGCCTCCCGGCGCTGCACGGCGAGGCGGGGCCCGGGGCGGGCGGCAGCACTGCGGAGGCGCTCGGGGCGGCCGCGCCGCTCGGGCCGGCCGGAAGCGGCGAGC